AGAAAAAAATACTTTTTTTTTTTTTCCTAATTGAATGGGGGAAAATTTATTGTCCATAGCTAAAATTTCAGATTGGCATTGGTTACATTTATGTCCTGGCTTTCATTCAGATTTTCAGTGAAAAAACATCATTTTTAGAATACAAATACAACCTGCAGAACACCACCAATGCTCTGGTCATTTTCTGAAAAAGAAAGCTGCTGTTCAAGGAGGGGTTTTGCAGCTGTGGGTTTCAGGGCTCATGTCATCCCTGCCTCCAGAGTCCAGAAGCATTTCAAGGCTGCTTATTTCCCTTTTGCTTTCAAATAATGTTATCTTCTGCATCACTTATTAAAGGAACAGGGCTCTTGCTTCCCCTTTGCACATTGGTAGCTGCTAGTACAATCAGACCAGGAGGGGTTTTTGGTTATTTTTCAGAAATTTCAGAGCATTTTTTAGTCTAGTGCATCTTCCCATCCTCCCAGAGGGGTTTTCCTCAAACTGAGGAAGAAAAGGCATGACAGAAGCTTCCACAGCAACTCACCTGCCTCTGCCGATGGGACTTGGCTCCGGAACAGTCTGTCTGGCTTTTTCCCCTGGTATTGAATCCTCTGCAAAGGAAAAAAACACAATATTACCTGACCCTGGCTGTGCTTGTTTCTGCCTCCTGATGGACTGTGACCAGCAGCTGCCGTATTGCCAAGGATTTGCTGCCTCTTCTGCATGTCTTGTCTCTGTTGTATCAATCCAGTTTTCCTTGTCATGAGCCAGTCTTCAGGATTGGCACATGTCAAACGTCATGTCCTGAACTGATAGTGTGTCCCTTGGTTACTTCACCTTGGTTTTACTTTACAGCCATTTGATAGTCACAGGGAACATGAAATTTTAGAATATAATTTTGTATTTTCCCACTGCTTTGAATTAAATGCCTATAATCCACTTGAGCATTCTGCTGTGGGTGACCTATTTGCACCACAGCTGATCTCTGCTGTGTCTGGCACAATGAATTAGAAATAATTGCAGATACATTAGAGAAATCACGTCTAGTGCAAAAGTGTCTGTTTGGCGAGATAATGTGATGACTTACACACATCTCCTTCTCCAAAGACACCTGCATAAGAGAGCTGGTATGGACAAGGACAGGCTGCTCCAGCATATCCAAAGAAATCCTTTTCAGGTCCTAACTCAAGGATCGGTGTCCTGGCTAATCCCACACAGGTCATCTGATCATCTGTCTGCAGAATGGGAACCAGATTTCACCGCCTCTCAGGAAAGCTGTGAGAATAAAAGCCCAAGTACTATTCTAGGGAGATTTAATTAAGTACCTGGCAGATAGACAGTCTGTACCCAGCACCTTTCTCTCACATTTTTCCCCACAAAGAGGATTCTTTTTCTTTGTGGAAAAAAGACAATAAAACTCTATAGTGTCTGTTTACCTCAAGGCATCCATTCCATTAAGAGTTTCAAGGAGGACCTAAAAGCAATTAGTGATGTTCACTTTGGCATGGCTAAATAAGCTGTGCTCAATCCACTCCCTCTCAGCTGAGCATCTTCTCATTACAGAGTCATTTATCTCTTTGTTTACTGATGCCACATCTCTGTGGCTATGAGCCGGCATGAGGTGCTGTGTGGCAGAGCTGGTGGCCCATGTCATGGCTCAATTTAAGACCGGAGGGCAAGTGTTGGTCTCACTGAATGACACGTGGGGTTTGTTGGCTGAAATCGGCCCCTGGGCACAGTCAGGAGCATCCAGAGCTTTATGCATTGTAATTCTGAGCAACGTGGAGGCCAAACCTGGTGAGAGAACAGATGGAAACGGCTGTAGAATGAGCGCTGTGTCGATTCTGGGAGCTCAGCCTGAGCACGCTCAGCCGGCTGCGAGTGAGGATGGAACACCCGGCTGCACTCAGCTCATTCGCAGCAGCAGAATCCTGTTTCACTTCATGGTAATTGGCTGGAATAGGGTTTGTCTTTCCTTCGGAGCTCATTCCGTATAATATGTTCTCTTAATAACGGACTCTTGCCCATCTAAGAGTGTTGACAAGCCTGACAATAGAAGGAACTAGCAATTTCACATGCATTTAAAGGTCGTGCAAAGAAATTTGTCCATCTCCCCGCAAACCCTATTAGCGGGGAAGAAAGTTTTGCAGCAGATTTGCAGTGACGCAGTGTAAGCTGCTGGATAAGGATGTTCTGCAATAAGTCCTCACCTTGGAGGTTCTTTTTCCCAAGTGGTCTTCTGGGACCTCCCAGAATGAATAAACAGGTGTAAGGATTTCAGGAAAGGAGTTTGTGCGCTCACTTGCTGAGCTAGGGCTTGGCTTCTCCTGCTGGAGTCCCACAGTAGGCAGAGCAGGTTACTGGGAGAGGTACAAGGCTCTTCTCCTGCTAGTCCTCTCAGAAGTGAAGGCCCAAAAGGCTCAACTGTCTTAAATAATTTTCCTTGATTCTTTAGACATCCAAACTTGGAGTCGTAGTCCAGTATCGATGGACTGTCCCTGTGTATGAACATCTGAAAGCTCCTGCTCGGCAGGTCTGGGTGTGCCAAAGCCACCTGCCCTCCCGGACACAGTCTGCTGCACCCTTCACCATTGCCACGACTTCAGGCTGTTCTGCACAGTAAGTTACATATATTTGTGATTTTGAATTCTTACATCTGTCTGAATTACAGAGCTGCTTTATTTAACTAATTACTGGGGTATTCACTCCATTTTCGCTAAACATGATTTATTTATTAAGTCTCGTTATCAAGTCCCTGACATGTCCCATGACATTTCTGTGCCCGTTCATTCCACATTTTCTGTGTCACAAAATCAGTACTAGTCACTGCAAATGAAGAGGATTACAGCGTCCTCAGTGCTTTAAAAGTAAAAAGTTCCCAGGTCATGACTTTCAAGGACTGTCCAAACTCTTATTTATAACACAACTTTTGAGTGAAAGAAAAAAATCCAGGAATTGATATACATCTTGTTGTTTCTGTTAATTATCAAACCTGCATTTAAAACAGAAAAGTGTAAACTATCAGCTTCTCTAGGGAACAGGAATCTTTCAAAAAGCTGCCTGATGCAACAGGCATATTGAATGATTTTTTTCCTAATTTAGACTTGGGAATTTCAGCTGTTGAATTTTCTCCCTCTGGACAAGACTCAAGCACTGAGAGTTCCCATTGACTCCAGCTGCTTTCAACTCTGCATAGCAAAGCCGAGACATTTTTTTTTTCAAGGCAGAAGACCTTGTTTTGGGTTTTTGGCTCCCTCAGCTCTGTGGCGCGGTCCCTGGGGAGGACAGCGGATGCTCTGGGATCCACGGCTGGTTTCCCTGTGGGTTGCTCTGTGGATCTTTTGCGTGTTCTGAAGCAGAAATGGCTCAAAAGTGGGAGCAGCTTCAAGCAGCCGCTTTTTCTCCAGCTGCTCTCATGGCCTTTCCCGCCGGGGTGGGGGACCCGTGCTTGGCACAGCAGCGGAGCTCGGGGAAGGACGGACAGAGACGCAGACAAGAAACCAAAACGTGCACCTTTGGAGCGTGATGGGAACTTTTGCATTAGGAAAATGTTTAATGTAACAGCCTTGTATCCGCAGTATTTCTCTTATGCCCTCTTATGAGGTCTTTACATACCTCACAAATATGAAATATAATCTGCAGAGACCTGTAGGGGCAATTTTATTTGGCTTTGCAAGCTCAATGCTCCAGTAAGGAAAGCATTTTCTTTACCTCTTCACGGACAAGAATTTCAATGCGTGTCCCTACTCAGACTGTGGTAACCCAGCCTGGGGAGACAGGCTGCTTCTGCTCTCCTTTGCAGGTTCCATTTCACTTTTTACACTCCCCCACCCCACGGGAGAGTGAGAAGGGGACAGTGCCAGACACAAAGCTGGGAGTCTCTGAAGGTGGAAATCCTCGGATGTTCTCTGTCTGATGAAACTGTGGAACAGAGAGAAAGAAAGATGCTGCAAATTAGTAAAGATGATGCAAATTAGCAAAGATGCTTCATCCCATGTAGCTGTTGTGCTGACTACCCAGAAAAGAGGAGGAGGAGGAGGGAGGAGATGGGGAAGATCAGAGCACATCCACTCTCTGTATTTTGCTGCTCAGATGGATCTGCACATGTCAGACTCTCCCATCGTCTCTGTGTGGGGTTGCAATACACCTTGGGATAAACTGGGAAGAGATACACCATTGGCTACTGCCCACGCGGTGTGTCATCTGGCAGGCTGTACATAGCACAGGGAAAGCAGGGACCACTCAGTCTCTGAGCAAAGCTGCTTCAGTGTACAGCTCAGAGACACTTCGAGGATGGAAAGAAAAGGGAAAGGCTGCCCTTGCTTTTTTGATTCTGACAAGCTCTGAAAACTCTTGTGAAACAGAGACCTGACAGATGAAGGACTACGTGGGAAACTGATAAAACAGATTTCCAAGGAGAAGTTTTGGGAGAGAAGCAGAGCAGTGCCCAAAAGGAAATATTCACTAGGATCTCTTCATAGGTGCAGAGAGAAAGTGTCTGGGGATTTCTGATATTTCAGCCTCTGAATCAGCTTCTGTACCTGGACTTATGGGACTGGAAAAGACCAGCAGCTGGAGAGTCCCTGGAGCAAAACTCACATGTAATCATCACGGGGAGAAGGACCCATTTATGAACTCTTTCACACAGTTTGCAACCACGGGGCACATTTTTAAAATGCAAGTGTGTGTGTTCCCCCCTGCAACCGCCGACTTTAGCACCTGAGCTGCCAGGGTGGAGAGGAACGTGCCACTGGCCCAGGGGCCCGGCAGCACTGGAGCTTTGCTTCCCGAGCCATGAGTAGGCACGCGTGGTTCCCCTTGCAGTACATCTCCAAGCCCTTCTGGAGAGCGGAGAATCACAACACGACCAACTTCCTCTCTGCACTGTACGGCTTCCCTAACCGATCCTTCTTCCACAGCGACCTGGACCTGGAGGACCTGGGGGACTTTGACAGTGGGACCAAGTATGAGGGTGAGTCCCAGAGCCAGACGGTGAAGGCGCTGCTGATAGTCGCCTACTCCGTCATCATCTGCATCTCGCTCTTTGGTAACATCCTGGTGTGCCATGTGGTGGTCAAGAACAAGAGGATCCCCTCGGCCCCCAGCCTCTTCATTGTCAACCTGGCTGTCGCCGACGTGATGATCACCACCCTGAACACGCCCTTCACACTGGTGAGCATCCGCCTTGTCTGTGCTTTGCTGGTGTCTGTGCCTGTCAGAGCTGTGGACACGTGTGTGGAACGGGCCAGGAACAAGCTCACACCCAGAGTTTCTTTTTGGCTCTCCCCCCTCTCCTTTTGCCTCCTGGACGAGGAACATCCATAGTGTTTTTCTGCCTTCCAAGAGCACTTCCCGAATTATAGGTGTGAATTTACTTTTTCTGAAATGGCTCCTGTTTCTTTGGTGGGTTTCTCTGCCCTGCTCTGCTGGGATTTGCATCCCTTGGTCTGTTCAGGGAAAGGACAGTGCCCTCGTGTGTTCGCACTACAGCCACACATCAGGCACAAGTAATTAAATAACTGTAATCCCTCCTGGGAAAGAGCTTCACATCAGCTTCAAAAAACCAGCAAATTGCTAGGGTTTCAGTGACAGAGTCCCTGGAGTTCTCATGGGGAAATTATTAAATTAATTGAAAACAGATTAGCTAATCTAGGCTAATTTTCTGTGTGGACAGATGCTTTGTAGTAAATGTGCTTTATTTCAAACTAGCTTAATCTGCTTCCAGAGTGAGTTATATTAATTTAGAATAAATATTGTGCAGTCAGGAATAACAAGGGGGTGAGATGACAACTGTTATTTGGAACAACCTGCCCTGCAGAAAGCCGGGCAAAGCATCACCTCCCTGGGCAGCGGCAGCGCCCGCTCCGCAGACAGGCAGTCCCTAACTCAGCGCTGCTACCTCACCTCACTATTTCAATGCCCTCAATGATATTTTCTTCCATGAGCTTCCCTCACAAAGTTTTGAACCTGTGCATCTTTCAGCATCCACAAATTCAAACCTGCAGCTGGTTTTTAAGGAGGCAAGCTCCTGTTTTTCCCTGCAGAGCCTCATTAAGGAGCTGAGCTAAGATTTCTTTACATTTTCCAGAAGGACCATGTTATACGTATACACATGTACAGCCAAACACATGCACAGAGCACTACTCAGGTGGATTTGTTTGTTCAGTATAATTGATCTCAATTCTGTTTCGGAGCCTCTTGCACGGTCACTATTTCCCCAGAAAAACTAAGTATAATGAATCTACAAAGCTTAAGGAAACTACATTAAAGCATTTCTTCCTTACCATATTCCAGGGAAGCCCATTTGCTACTCTTCAGATAAAGCACACTTTTAAAATCCAATTTTGTCTCCTCTTCAGGTGCGGTTTGTAAGCAGTACCTGGGTTTTTGGAAAGCTGATGTGTCACATAAGCCGGTTTGTTCAGTACTGCTCCGTTCACGTGTCTGTGCTGACCCTTGCTGCCATCGCTCTGGATCGACATCAGGTATGCGATGTACATCACCCCGAAGTTTGCTACAAAATAAGGCAATAAATACATATTTTTCCCCCCCTTCAAATCCCAGTACCTGGAAACCTGCATTGTCTTGGGAATCAAGGAGTGGAAGGGAGAACTCTGGCTTTCAAGGCAGTGGACAAAAAACCCCCCTCTTTTTTTGCAGCCAGGGTGATCAAAGACTGGAACAGGCTGCCCAGAGAACTTGTGGAGTCTCTGTCCTTGGGGATATTCAAGCCCAACCAGAAGCAGACCTGGCAGCCGGCGCTGGCTGGTCCTGCTTTGGACAGGGAGCTGGAGCAGATGGTCTCCAGGGACCCCTGCCCACCGCCGGCACTCTGTGCCACACGGCCCTGAAAACACGTGGGAGTATATTCCCAAGTCCAAACACCAGCAAGCCAGTGCACTTTCTCAGCATTTATTTGTGAAGAGTCTCACAATTTTTAGGCTTGCCCCATTATTTTGTAATGCCCAAGACTGGAAGTAGAGAGAACTGTGTCAGCTCTTTCAGTTCCAGGTGAGAAATTCTCCTCCCTCTGTCCTGGTACTTTTTTGGTGAATGTCAACCAGGGAAACCTTACAGGTCAAGCAATGAGTGCAAACTGAAGGGTTTCCTTGAAGTATAATCCAGGTTGTAGTTTTGCTGAAGCTGATAAATGCTGTGCACAGGCAGAGCAGATCCTACAAGGTGGCTCTCAGGCAGACTCTATATTTTTCTCGCAGCGTTGGAATCAGGGAAATGGTTGTTACTGAAAAGCAATTTCACATGATAAATGACATGGCTAGACGAAGTTCCAAACAATCACGGATTCTACTCTGATCATCTGGGATGTGCTCCATCTGGTGTCAGAAAATTACAGTGACTGTCGGAGTATAGATCATCCATTTCTGTCTTTTTTATCACAAAGAGTTTGGTAGTTTGCCCATTCTATGTGCAACTCTGCAGCTCCTGAAAGCAAAGCATTTTGATAATGATTCCTTTCAATCAGTGGATTCTGGGTTGATTGCAAAACATGGCTAGATATGAAGAAGTGTTTGTTTAATTAAGGGCAAACACAATGCCTGCCTTTAAATTCAGTTCAGTAGGTTCCTCGGAACTGGAATTGGCGAGTATGGCCCAAGGAGATAAAAATAGAAGTAAGGAGATGTCACTGACCAAAGAGAAATCAACACTTGCCTTTAAAAAATATTGCTAGTCCTGAGCAGTACAGATGCCCCAGGGGAGTTGCAGAAGCTCGATTAAGGAAATACTTATAATGAGACTAGAAAAGACATGCATAAAATACCAAAGGCTTCATCAGTCAAGAGATCATTTCGGTACCATGATAGGTCTAGTTTTAATTATTGTTTCATTGCATAATCTAATCACCCGTGGTGCATGTAGCTCAACAGATACCTAACCATCTCAATCTCAGAAGCCAAGCTGATGTGTGACACTGAGCGTGTTTCTCTGCTCTGGGCACTGGGCCAGCAGGAACCTTCGCCCTTGCACAACTCTGCCTTTTCTGGCTCTTTTCTCTCCTGTAAAATGGGTCTCTCCTTTCTGCCTCTTAACACTGGGGTGGATGCAGAGCTGCTGCAGCGCTTCCAACTCCAACGTGAGGCTCCAAGAGTGACCAAGACGTTGTCAGATAGAGCAGCTACCTCGGCAGCAAACACCGGGGCTGCACCGTGCCGTAGGCAGTACTGCACGGCGCAAACCAGGAACACACAGGAGACCAGCCTTCGAGTTTGTCAGTGCTATGTTGGCCAAAGGTGACATTCAGCTGTGGTTTTCCAGCATCTTGTCACTGTCTTGCAAGCCCACCTAATGCCAAAAGCTGTGAGCATCGTGGCTGCCACCTGTACTGGAGACCTTGTCTGTAGTAATTAGTGGACTTTTTGCACTCCCTATAGCACAAGTCAGAACAGCTTCTTGGCTTTCAACTTGTGCCATGCTTCACATCTCTGCTGAGTATTCCTTGCTGTCTTGGAAAGCTCACACGCTGTTTGCTTCGTGCTCAGTGATCAGTGTGAAATGATTGCTCCTGGACATGGATAAAGCAAAGATGTGTACTTTTTTTCTTAAAGCTTTTAGCTCATTTTTATCAGTTGAGGACATTGTAAATCCTCAGGTTTGGTTGTTCTCTGCAGGTCATCATGCACCCTCTCAAGCCGCGCATGTCCATGGTGAAAGGAGGGATTTGCATCATTATCATATGGGTTATGGCCAGCTGCTTCTCACTGCCTCATGCCATTTATCAGACTTTGACAAGATTTTATATCGGGTAAGACATTTACACAGTACTTTTTTTAATACGACATATGCAGCTTAATCAAAGTCGCACAGATTCTAAGGCACACAGCTCTCCATCTGTGCTATTAAAAAAAAGTGTGGTGAATCAGAGAAGTCTTCCTTTTCTTTGGCTTGGCACTGTGTTTCTCCTGAAAGGACAATGGAAATCAATGGAATTGCTTTCAGGGTTGTTCATTAGTTGATTTTGGCTCAGAGATTCAGCCCTGTAATTTGAGGCAGGCAGAGAGGAGAGGTGCTCTTCATCATTAGAGAGCACAGATGTCAATATGAATTGTTTTTTTCTTTTCCTGGGGTTGTGTTTAAAATATCTTCACTGGGACCAAAGGTCAAACTTAAAGCAAAATTTTTGACTGAGTGGCACTTGGCCATGTTACTGGGTGACTTCTGCTATCTGTGCCTTTGCTGAAATGTTGTAAGAACGTCTGTGATGTCCTCCAGGTGTTGTGTGCATCTGGTAGTGGAACTGACAGTTCTTTCTCTCTGGTCTTCAGGAACAGAACCATACGAATGGTCTGCCTCCCCAGCTTCCCTCCTCCTGCTGATCTTTTCTGGAAGTATTTGGACTTGACTACTTTTGTTCTCTTGTATGTCCTGCCCTTACTTGTGATCTCCATCACATATACCATGGTGGCCAAGAAGCTCTGGCTGAGAAATGCCATTGGGGACCTCACCATGGAGCAATACTATGCCCATCAACGGAAAAAGAAGATGACGCTGAAGATGCTGATGGTGGTGGTGGTTGTGTTTGCAGTATGCTGGTTCCCCCTGAACTGCTACGTGGTGTTGATCTCCTGTAGGGCCATCCACAGTAGCAACGCTCTGTACTTTGCTTTTCACTGGTTTGCCATGAGCAGCACTTGCTACAACCCCTTCATTTACTGTTGGCTGAACGAGAGCTTCAGGTCTGAGTTGAAGTCCTTGCTGTGTGTGTGTCGGCGAAGGAGTGCCACCCAGAGCCATGCTCTGCAGTCCATCTCCCTGCCTTTCAGGCATGCCTGGGTTGAGAACTGCCATTATAAAGGAGGCAGCGCATGCCAGAAGACAAGGGCATCCTCCCAGAGGAACTCTGCAAAGACAGACATATCCAGTGTTCAGCCAATTGTGGCAGAAAGCTAAACCCTCAATTGGATGGCCAGGAGCATCGTGTTGTAACTGCAGAATCACAGGAAAAACTGAGTGGGACAGCACTGCTGGAGACCACCTCGTCCAACCTTCCACCCAAAGCAAGTTAACTTCAGTGCTCAGTTGGGTTGTTCAGAACCTTGTCCAGTCAGGTTTTCAGAAATCTCGGGGGATGGACTGCCCACCTGCGGGCTCCAGAATGAGGAGAGTGGAGTGAATTTTTCATTGGAACAGTCAGCACAAATTAAGAGAATTCTTTAACAGCACACAAACCCTTTCATAGCCTGAGCAAATAACCTACAGTGTCCCTACACACGCCAGCTGATGCACACTGTTTTAAAGTAAATGGCTGTGTGTGCACATAGAAACACTGTACTGATTCTGTCTTTTTATTTATTTGTAATTTGTTCAAGATGAATAACATTTATAACTGTTCTCACATTTACACCCAACACATCTCAGCCGCTTACTCTGCTGTTAAAGAACCACCACAGACCTTGGAAGACAAATGTTGACAGTCAAAATAATTTTATGGAGCTGGTACCAGTGGAAACACCAGTTTGAGTCTAATAGGGTGACAGTCGTGTGCTCTGGTCCCAGCAGGTTGTCTCCAGGGCAGCTCCCCAGGCTGAATGACAATGGCCCGTTAGGTACATTCGGAGGAGACCCTCAGGGACTGATGGACTTTGGGGACCAACCTCCCTCCCTGCCCTTCCAAATCAGGGGTGGTCAGTTGTCAGGCCAGGGCTGGGAACTGGGCTGTGACCAGTTTCTTTAGCATTGGTGAGCGCAGGCTCACTGTAAGGAAACAAACTGGGGCTCTCGCTTCGTGTGTGAGGGAGGGTGGACAGCAGACTCACGTGAGGGCTGTAAGGTCCACACAAATGTGCTGCACAAATACAGCTCTTTACCTATTCCATGAAAAACTTCACAGTTAAGAATAAAAACAGTATGTGAACGCTCAGAGGTGGCAAAGTCTGAATTGCCTTGCCAGGCGGTATGTGGAGACAAGAGGGATGTTGGCCAGGAGGACCTGTTCTGCTGATACATGTAGGGCTTTGCTATAGTCTCCAGACTTTCCCTTAAGAATGTCTCACCTCACTGTATTTCCTGAGAAAATTGTGTATTGCCATGTTTTAACATTGTTAATTGACATTTCTTTGAAGTCTAAATTATTTTCAGTTTCAATAATATTTCTTTTTTTACCAGTCCTCAAGAACTGTGTCCTTTGTGGCTCCATTGTCAGACTGGCAGCCCCTCCCCAGCCTGTCTGCCTGTCCATCTGTCTGTCTGTCCTGGAGTTAACCTGCCAGGCAGCAGGGATAACAGCTTGGCAGCTCCTGACCAGGACACCCTGCTTTGCTTGAGGTGGAACCTCAACCTTAACTCTGAGTGTTGGGAACAGATCTGCAGCTTTTGAAACCAAAGGCAGAGAACAGGAGAAGTTGGCACAAGATAAAAGTTCATCTGTAAACGTGTGCACACCCCCTACTCGATAAGACGGAGCATCTGGTGATGTGCCATGGTGGTTGCCTCACACGCTGGTAATTGCACTCC